CTTGGAAACTGGGCTTGTTGGGTAACTAGGCATCTTTATTCTTCTGTGTTGCTTTGCTCCTCGAAGACCATAGAAGATCTCTGTCACCGACCATAGGGGGCCTGGATCCATGTGGTGAAAGTTAAAATCTCGCGTTTTGATCTAAAATGGTAATTCGGCGGACCCGATGTGGGCCAAAGCCACTAGTCTCACCACATATGCAAAGGTCCTTCGCTGGGAGGAGGAAGTGGGCCGGTTTCCTTATTATACAGAGTCTTCAAACACTGCCTATGCTATATTAGAAAATAATCATTGGATGAAAATTTTCTCCAAATACCAAGTATCCTTGAGAATTGAAATAATATGTTTATGCAAAAACAATTAAATTATATATAGATACTTGGTGATTGCATCATTAATAAAGACTAATGAACAGATCCTGGCTTAATACTTAATATATTTAGGCCTGATAATATGGCCTGTAGATTAATTTATTATAGGAATATTACTGATTATACCTTACCCGTGTTAATGTCTAAATATATATAGTAGATAGATCCTGGTACTAAGAATAGTTAAGATAGTCAACTATCCTGTTCTTAACTATACTGCAGTCAGATATAAATATTCTCATAGTCTGGCCGTTAACCTATTCTGATGGAAGGTATAAAATTTCCTATTAACCTGACTACAGGGATCTTGTAGTATTTTGAGCAGTAGAAGACATTGTTGAGACAGACTTCTGAGTAGTATAATATAATCTGTTCTGTTCAACTGCTGCGACGCCACATTTATAATATAGCTATTCAAATTGAAGTGCCCAGCTACAGTCATTCTCGAAATAGGCTTGACCAATGTATACTGAGTAACTCTTCATCGCCTCATCACCAAGGCCTTAGCGCAGATTTCTTATTGGGTGGGTCGCATTTAATTTGAGGGACATTGTAAGATGCAGGCCATATGCTACCGGATCTTCTTATGTAATATTACATAAATAGGTACAAAAATTCTGTGGAATGACATGGAAGGCCTGGAACATGTAGGGTGTCTCTGCAAGTCATGTGGCAAAGGCCTTCTAGCGCCTTGTCACTTGATGATCTACCGGGTGGCCATATTCACCTTATCGTGCATGATATGGATCTTTTTAGCATGGTGAGATCTTCCCAAACCTCTCCAGGGCCATAATTTTTGTGTGAGTCATCCCGAGGTACATTCCATATCATCAAAAGGAAGTGGTTTTGTGCCTCGAGCGTGAGAAAGCATGTGCTAAGCCCACTACCAAGAATATCAGGTTAAAGCAGTAATCTTGTAAAAGAGGGGTATTGTAATACTTAACATGTTTTAGAATACATATATATTTGTCGGAACGGGTTGGCCATTTGCGCAGGCGGCTCGACTCTTTGCCTTATCGCGGTACTATCACGACGTGATCCTCTTGTTCGTGCGACTTGAGTTACCAATAGGGTGGCTGAGGCAAGCTGGCCACGCTGCTGACTCGCCCCGATGTCGTTTTTCCCAGAAGGCAGTTCAATGTGGCTTGAACCCCGCGCGCCAAAAGTAGGGAAGAGAGCGGTGACATGGTCATACAATGTCACGAAGTGTGCTGTGGGAGATGTGCTGTACACAGTCAGAACGTTCTGGATCAACAAATCCCCCGGGCCCGATTTTCACCGCTAGAATCGCGCAACCTACTTTGCAGCGAGTCAGTCGCACCCGCAGCTGATTTCCTACCGCAGATCCTTGTCGGTGATATGTTTAGTCGACATGGTGTTTTCTAGGCTTCCTTAGTTCTCTCTCCAGTACAGTAATATTAGATTACATGAAGGGCTATGCGAAACTGGCTGGCCTTATATCTATGGTTTTGTAGGATCTGCGGGCAATTGGAAGGCCTTGGTGGAAAGTATATGATTGAACTGCAACCCGAAATGAAGAAGAATCAGATTTGGTGACCATGATCCTTACACAGAAGAAGATAATATTATTTGAAACTAGCCGTTCGCAAGCCATATTCAGTGGAATATTGCTGAAATTTCCCGAGCTCAAGCTTGTCATTAGGGTGAAATGATACGGAACTAGGTGCTCATGAAACCGGTGTTTTTCTTTTTAATTACAAACAAGTCAGGTCGTCCTTCCTGATTTCGATCACCTATAATACACTCGAACAAATCATCGGTCTCGTTTAAGTCGTGCCAGTCTGAAGGATGACCTTGAGCGGCGCTGGAAGACCGCCATCTCATATTCGCATATAGCCCAGATGACTGATAGACAAGCCGGCCTGCTTTTGTGCAAAAGTGATATCCCACGATCCGAATATCAATAACATGACGAATGCTTCCGCTGAAACTCCGCAAAAAAAAAAAAAAAAAAAAAAAAAAAAAAAAATCGATTTTAAGAGCTAGACAAGTGGATCCTACTTCGTAATTGACCTCGAGCTCAAGTGCCATATATGCCGTAGATGTTCCAAACCTGCCCGCCGACATTCGCGATGCAGTGAGCGTCCATGTCGACGTTCTGCGCATCGTGTGGAAAAAAAAAAAAAAAAAAGCCGGAAAAAAAAACAAAAAAAAAAAAAAAAAAAAAAAAAAAAAAAAAAAAATTCTTTTATATGACTGAGGCCTTTTGTAATCATACTTTCATTTACGTTCAAAGCAATTCGTATTATACTGAGATAGATCCATGTTTCTAGAGTGACCCAGGCCTGTTACAAGCGGTGATTCTGATTCGGCAAGTTCATCAAGTAACCTGGAGTATGGGGATGGATATCGGCCAGCAAGGTAATGTACCATCACATCGCCATCACAACTTATACCCTCGGAACAAAAGCTCGGCTTCCCAGGATTGTTCGACCATGGAGTGAAGAGATATAGACGGTTGATAGTTGACAAGTGGCTAGAAGCATAGCATATACTTCAGTGGATCAGCCAAAGCTTCAAGAATTGCGTATCAATATTACACGCATTGTAAGTTGTAACTTTGAGCTTACCTGAAATTACATAGTATCTTGTTTTATATCAAGAGACTCGTCATATAATACTAACCGAACCCCAGCCCGAGGGAGAACGCCGCATGAGTGACCTCACAACCTAACGGTATAGCCTGACTTTATTTGAGGCCGCAGGTTAACACACGTGCGGACTTTTGCATGTAGATCACTTTCCCAGATAGGTTGAGCTTATTTTGAATGATCCGGAGGATTGAAATAAAGTATCTGAATTTCCATGCTACTTGCATCCAAATCAAGAAACTCTAATTTTGAAGGTTCGCAGATCTTCTGACCTCGTACCCATAAACCTATCACGTCTCCAGACCGTACCGAACTCAGAAATAACTAATGGTCCAGACTTCCACTGATGAGGTGGAAAAGTCAGCCGGACTTACAATCCATCTACGAGAACTAGTGCGAGAGTATCTTACTGCGCCGCTCTTTATGGTTCACATGGATATTGGCTCACGGTGGGGAAATGGCCGAATGGGTTGGATTATTAGTTTACTACAGCAGTTCTAAATAGTGTATTGAAAAATAATCGCAAGAAAAAATAGTATGAGATCCTTAATTTGTAAGACAAGACAATTTACAATAACAACCACCGCCATCAGCTCAGAGGACATGCTGACGAATTAGTTGCCGAGCCGTCTAAAGCAGAGAATGAGTACTTTTTACCGACAGTAATGGTGTTAGCTTGCACGGAGGATCATTACCGAGCCTCAGCTTGCGAGTGGTTCGCGGCTGGCGAAGTCCAGGTGCTTAGATGGAGTAAGAAAACTGTTTGTTGGAACTAGAGAGTGTAAAACATCCTTATTGTGAAAAGAAGGGAGGCATTTTTGGAACTCTGATTGTTTGACTGCAATTCAATATTGAGACTCCCATTTACTGCTGTACTCGCTCCATCGCCACAATTGCTGAGGGCTTAGGTAATCCCCTACATTAATACCAGATTAGAAACTAATATAGTCTCTATGTTTAGTGTATTCTCTTTAATTATTAATTATTTTTTATTTCTTAATATATTTAGAAATTCTTTCTCTTTATACAAGACCGAGACATGATTCTTTAGTTCAAAGGAGATTTTAATAATATTACTGATTTTCTGGGCGCAGAAGCGGTGCATGCTTTGATTTCAGTAGACAACTGTTCACTTTCTTTCAGGAAGGTAAAGAGATATCGTGCCATGGCTAATATGCAGTAGGCGTGTTAGCAATTCTTCATTAGCCCCAGAAATAGCCTTCAAGTCTCAACCCGGGCCGCTGACGGCCGTAAAAAGGGTATACACGCACAACCCTCAGAAAAGCTTTTCTATCTACTATGGCTGACGCGAACGGAAGTACCCAGAGTACCCAGAGTAGGTGTGACAGGGTAACTGCTCTGGCAGCGTGACAATTGTATGGCAGGTGATCAAGGTGTGTCTCGGAATATTGCCTTCTGCATAGTGGTCCCAAGGTAGAACACGAGCATCGCTACACCAATGTGTATGTGAATCCTGGTGGATATCAGATATTATTCATCCGCGTACTGTCACGAATAATACTAGCCTGGGTAGATCTCCATGCTAAGTCGAGACTAGCGCCGTAAAGCTTAAATTAGCGGGGTGGATCTGGACCCCGCTCACCCTGCCGGATCCGAGAGTTGCATCTCGCCCGGTCGGCATAGTGGCCTCAGGTCCTGTAAAATTCATTATCGCTAGGCTGGTCGGTCTCGATGAGTCTATATCACATGTTCTACCCCGGGTTTGAGATGAATACGAAGGCCAAGAAGCATTCTCTGGCGGAGACGCCGATCGTGCGACATGGTTGAGAGCGTTTTCCTTAGAAACTCGCCAATTGATATTGAGTTCTCCCGGTCGAATATCCATCGATGCCTAGTACTCCAGCGGAAAGATAAATAGCAACGTATGGAAGTCAAAGCAGTTCCAATGACCCAGTACTACTAGTAATAATGTGTATACTTGCTAGTAGCTAGCTTAACATATCTGACTAGTACTGCATTCTAGTACTTCGTCTAATATTTTCTTGACTTAAACAACATGCCTGTTCCCCACTACGGCGTCTGGGCTTGTAAGGCGGTTGACATTTATGCCGAACCACCTAACGTGCGCACGCCACACATCTATCTTCAATTTAATGATAACTCTTCGGGAACGCGAGAGGCTGCTATTAACGTCGAGGGCAGCGGTCAAGAGTCTCGTCTCGTGTACAAGTTACCAAATGAATTGCCTTCTGAAGTCACCCGCAAACTTGAGGGCCTCAAGCTAGGCTTTCACCTAATTCAGGACTTTGACACGGATGGGAACCTAGACAAGCATCGCCATCATCACTTACACTATAGACACCAGAGACTGCGCCACACCGATCTACAGGGACTCGACTATCAGCGTACTGAGGGTCTGGTGAACATTCTGGAAGGCGAGATCTTGGAGTATGATACGGAAGGGCCTAACAATGACCTAAGAGAGAAGCTGGTCCCCCTCCTCGAGGAAGCTAAGAAAGAGAAAGATACCACGACTGTCTATATATTTGGCTCGTCTTACGGATCAGGAATCCATAATATTCATATGAACCAAGGCAGCCATCCGAAGTATGACAATGGTATCTACTCAGATGGGGCCCTACTGTTCAGGTTCGGGGAAAACTGGAAAGGAGTGTTTCTGGCCTTTGCTTCCCAGATGCTACCGACTGATTATAATGGATTAGCAGAGCCAAATAGTGAAAGCTTGGCGCAGTCAATTATGGGCACATGAGAAATCATAATATCCGGGAGTTGATGGTAAAAGCATGCAGTTATCCTGCAACAGATTGGCCTATGCTGGCACAAATTGTGACTTAACTTATCCTTAGCTGTAATAGTTGTTTTGAACATTCCTTTTAATATTTTAATCGCATTCTCAATGTCCCCATTTAAACGCCAACCTAATATCAGAGAAGAGATTGTTGATGATAGATAGTAATATATACTACTTATATATTTGCTCTATATTTGCTCCATTCTTGCTACTACCCAACGCATTCTATTACAACTTGGTACTTCATTCAGTCTTTGGCTTTTATTGCACAGAAAAAGTAATAATTGAGACGATGGTATAGACTCCTGAGCTGTGAGAGTTCATTAATAAGAGTAAATATTGGAAGCCGTTAGTGGTTGGCGTTTTGTTTGTTGGTTTTGAATTAGGTTACGAATTTGCGGCTTGCACGGTGGATAAAAAATAATCGCAAAAATGAAAGCCCAACGCGGGGCTCACCCGCAGCCTTGAGATGAGAAGTCTCACGCTCTACTTTCCTGTAAATTGTAGGCCACCAGCCTAGTCACGGAACGAAATTTAAACATTCATCCTGTTTACATTTTGTTAAACACTCTATGTAAGATGGGAGTGCCCTCTTGGAGATGACTCTACCTGCATACACCCATCAGAAAATGGGCTGGAAAGAACATACTTACTCAGGGATATACCCTGACTATTTGAATGTATTTGACGAGCATGTAGTTTGGCAGAACACCAGCTGTAAGGTGGAGCGCCATGTGCCATCCTTTCGTTTTTAGCCGCCTGTTCATTTGATTCCACATCGTGCATATAGAATACATCCCCTGAAATATTCTGAGTTGGATTAATCATAGTCTTCAAGTAGCTATTCTGCTTCAAATCTCCAAGACAAGAACTTAGTAAAACATGATTTGTTTCTAATACAGACTCCAGCTCTATTTCATCCGACCAGTGCCCTGGATCAGATATATTATAATATAATTTATCCACATTATATATTTATCAATCTACTAGTAAGACTATAATAAAACAAAAAATATTATACCAGATTTTTATCTATTTTCAAGTTCTTGAAATATAATTACAGCCTTTATAATTAAATCTGCACGCTCCGGTCCTGCAAGGACTCTAATTTCCCTGGATACACCCTCAAGTTCAGAATAAGCTTATGTTATACACAAATGCGTTAACCAGATAATTTCTTGTATAAACTGGCTGACTGTTAAATACTCTGTCTTATAGACCAGTATATCTGAATCAAGTCTCTATTTCTGCCCGGGTATCAATCCAAGAATAATCTGGCTATTTCTAACCAGGATCTATTTTTATTATCCCTTAGCTGCTACAGAAGATTAATCTCTTCAGAAAACTACTGTTTACCTTTCCTAACAGCTCCAAAGTACTCAGAATAACTAGCTAAATAATTTATCTTACCTGCTGGCTTCTTGTCTTTATCTCTTATTTCTATTTTCAGTTTATTAGTAGTAGACACAACTACTATAACCACGATACATTTCGCTTGCTAAAGTCTTACATGTACTTCAACATGTCTAAGCCTGATGAAGTAAAGAAGGGCTCTGCTGTGAACCGCCACCAAATAACATCTTGCAATGCTTTGGGGGGCTTCGAAACAAAGATAAGCCTTGTTGCAGCTCATGTAATATGAAGAAAAAGTAACACCAAATGGGTAGACAAGGCTACGCGTGAGATATGTGTTATCCCTGTAGTATTATTGGTTGATCCAGTTGTGATTTCTGGGGAACTGCAGGCGGTCACCTGGCAGTTGACGTGTACTATTAGACGCCAAACTGACAGGGATCTAGGGAGTAATCCCTAGCCATAGTTGCCCCTAATGAGGGATTTTTTTCCCACTGCCAGTTTTGTGCCTATAGATGGAAGCTCCTGGAACAATCAGCTGAGCAGCGATTATCGAATCCTGACAAAAGGTGAACATCGGAGCAAAGTAGCCGCGGATATATGACCAATCCTCCCAAAAAAGCGAGCTTTATAACTAACAGCATGAAGACACAACAACTACCAGCATACTGCATACACTACATGCTCGCAGTCTTCAGCTACTTATTTAACATCTCTCCAACTGAGACGAAACCTCGACAATATCTTCCCCGCCTTGTGCTCTACGATCCTCAGTGAAAGAGATTTCGAATCCGTACCGGTATCTCCTTAGCCCGTTCACTAGGCCCAAGGTCGCGATAATCTTCAAGCGTGGAGTGGAAGTTATACAAGCCCAGGGGTCTTCGCGTATTGTGGACGGGATTCTAGAGGCTATCAAGAGCTATGGCAGTTTTCGACCACCAACCACAACCGGTCTTACCCCCTGCTCCCCCCGGTCTACTAATAACAACCCACCCACCCCGCCTAGGTCACCGATTGAGAATTGAATAACCCCGAATCCGTGATCTTCTACTCCTGGGTCCACGGTCCAGCACGAACTAAACCAGTTCTTCCGTCGAGAAGGCGATCACATCGGGCTCTACACCTTCTTCCAGCTCGATCGGACGAGCGCAAATCTATCCAACCGTATATTCATCGTTGGCATAGGGAGACTCTTGGTGAGCTTCCATGACTTTGAAAAATGAGCAAACAAAGTATAAATGTGGCTTTTTATGCATTCAGCAATGAGCTTGGGGAAAGGATATCACTGCAGTGAATGAAAATTTGTATTCTTTAAGCAATATGGACACAATATACTATATACACATATATTAGTTGGGCGAGACTATCATTCTATGTTAAGCGGCCCGCGTCACTACCTTCAGGCATTAAAACACAATCTAGACTCTTTAGTAAATAAAATACCTGCGTTCAGACCACATTGGGATGTTTGCGGCGACAGCAAAGATGCTCGTAAATCAAGCCCTCAGCGGTCGGCCGTCGGACACTAGGATGATTGGCGCAAGGCACGCTTATGCATCACATCCGGGCGGACAAGGCTGTATGTAAGACAATCTGCCAGGCTTCCACCACTAAAGCCCTGCTGCCTAAATTAGCGGGGTAGATGAGGGGGTTTGGGACAGCGCACGATCAATATCGACATTCCGGAGGCGCAATGAGGCTCTCTTGTTGCTTGTGATTGCAGTCCAAACAAACCCCGAAGGCTGGCGCATGTCACACCAGTCCATCCTGTCGGGCTCCAAAGGGACAAAATGGGTAGCAAAAAGAATGAGGCTCAAAATACTCTTCATTAGAGCCCTTCATAGAATACTGCATATAAGTCACCTCCGGCAAATGCACCAATATTGCATGGCATCCTCCTCATTTGTCATTCCTTATATCAAACATTCCTATGAACTTCAAAATGCTGAGTAGCTCAAAGAGTAAGTCAGGTTTGATTGGAGTTTATGTAAAATGAAGCTCACTGAGTATATTCTCTTCAGTCCAAAACGTCTCTCCAGGCTCTCTTTGCGATATATTTAACCTCTATCAAACAAAGCCAGATAACAGGGGTCGCGCATCGTGGACTAAAGAACTCCCTGAAAATCTGGTCGAGCCGGCCGAGGGCGCTGAATCAAGCTCTTACGCGATCATTGTGAGAAACATCAAATGTTACGATGGTCGCAAGAGTCTTACGATTCATTCAATTGTACTGCAAAGTGAACCGCTCAAGAAGTTTCTCACTCCTGTAATGGCGGGATATCCAGGACTTACGATGAGCCTGGACCGAATCGAGTTCAGCAAGCCATTCAAACCTTTCGTTCATCGCTGGGAGAAATTCACAGCCGCTCGAGAGAGTGAACAAGATGCAACGACCAAGGCACATGTCGACCTGCTGTATGAGCTTCTAGAAAGCGAACTACATGATACTATCTCCAGGAAGTCCGATCTTATCTCAAACGGTGTCGTGACTCACGCCTTGCTTTGGACCCTTTTCCAGCCAGGTGACATCGTTTTTAGCGTCTTGGATAATCGACCCCGTGCTTTCATTTGTGGAACAGGCGATATGGATTCTCGAAGCGGGACGTTCGAACTGAACGGAAAGTACATCGACTTTGATGGTGACAAATTTGGATTTTCAACATATGAGTTCCAACTGGAGGCATTCGAAGGAACATGCCCTATCACAGATTTGTCTGTGGCACCCCTGGCATATCACGAAAACAGGGATGCGATTGAGAAAGAATTATTATTGCGTGGAAGCCTCTGGGAGAGCCTGAGAGGATACCATTACAAGCAATATGATGGAGTCGGCAAGGGATACCTTTTCGGTCGTGAGGTAAAACTCAACATCACAAGTCGCATTGTAATTGACACGGCGGCATATATCACGTTCAATCCTAACGAAGAACTTCATTTGTCAAATACCATCGCGGGAGAGCTTTCCGAGGTCCAAAGGATGATAGCCACACCGATGTTGCGTGGTTATGCTCTCAAAGACAAGAAATGGCTCGAGTTCTTTGTCGACAATGTCACAGACATTACCTGGAACGCGCAAGCGTTTCAATCCTTGGTCCTGCCAGACAGTCAGCAACATTTGAAGAAACTCATCCTTGCCGTTGCCAAGTCGAAGTCGAATGGCCTTGAAGTTTTTGATGATGTCGTCCAGGGCAAAGGACGTGGCGTTATTATGCTTCTCCGTGGTCCGCCCGGAGTGGGCAAAACTTTGACGGCTGAGGGTGTTGCAGAGGTCATGAAAGTGCCTCTATACGTTTTGAGTGCGGCAGACCTTGGTACAAGTCCTTCAAGAGTTGAAGAAAGATTGAAGGACGTTCTCTCTATTGTTCCCAAATGGGGAGCTGTCCTTCTTCTTGACGAGGCAGATGTTTTTATGGAGGCCCGCAATTCAACTGATCTCGCGAGGAATGAGTTAGTTTCCATATTCCTTAGGGTTTTGGAATACTATGAGGTAAGATATAAAAGTCCTCTCGCTCTCCTGCTCGCACAGTATCTCACAGATTCCAGGGGATTTTATTTCTCACCAGTAACCGTGCCGAAAACATGGACCCGGCATTTGAATCCCGAATTCACGTGTCGATTTGCTACCCGGAACTTACTGAGACAACGAGACGTCAGATCTGGATGCAGTTCCTGGCTGCTCCAAACGTGGAACAATTCTCCAACGAACAGCTTGACGAAATTGCGAAGTTGGAGTTGAATGGCCGACAGATCAAAAATGTGCTCCGAACCGCCCATCTGCTTGCCCAAGAGGAAAACACCAGCGTCAGCTATGAAGATGTTCAAACGATCCTGAGTTTGAGATCCGTTTAGCACCACCATGGTCAATTGAGTATCTGCTTTCTTTCGTAGTGACATTTCGAACTTGCAGCTCTCAGTTTTTCACATACTGTAGTGCGACAATTTTGAAATTCTGTCTATTTCGTTTTCACTTGTTTTCCTTTGGTTTTCTTCGGGGGACAGTGCAACTGATGGCACGGATGCGATGACCACATGAGTCTTTCCTCCCAGCTCGCGCATGTATATCCTCAAGAGCCTACTTTATGAAAGCTTGCTACGTACTTCGCAATAATATATGTTTAGGTGATGAACTAAATTACAATCCTCCAGCTTGCACACCTAATTCTTCCGTAAATTTTCAGTCAAATTACCAGACTAGACATCTAATCCTGCATTTTCATACAAATTGCTCAGAGACTTGAATATATAGGACTATCTAAAACTTCTTAAACATTATAGAATTTATAGAAAAACTCCTGGAATTATCTGTGTCGTTCTTGAGATAAATTCACTTGTTAGTTCAAGTAATATATGGAAATATCAGAGGAGTATATGTATGAATACTAGCTGTGAAATCTATAATCATATTTCACTAGGAGAGGAATAATAAAGAATGACTTTATAGAATTAGTTAAATGCGATGCGATGGCTGGAGAAATCTAGGTGTCGTCTGATGGGATACAAAAATATATAACGCTTAAGCAGTGGCGGTGGCTTGTCAATCAATCTTCTTCGACAGTCGCTCATACCATAGTACCATTAATAAAATTATAGGATAATCCTGGTTCACTTCCTGTTGTGAACGACATAGGTGTGCTTCAAAGTATCATTGAAAGTGTTCCGGATGATGTGCATATGCGGTTACATGACGGGATTATGAGTATCTAAAGCTCTGTTTTGCTATAACCATTCATTAATGCCCGCTTCAACAGAATGCGATCCAGAAACAATCTTCTACAGTAGACCGGCAGTAGTAGATCTACATATATCGACAAATCACAATAAACTCAACAACCTATCCAGGTCCCTAACACCCAATGCCACCGCTCAACTTACCAGGCTATGCCTAATGTATTACTCCATATTATCTATCTTAGATCTGTCTAAGAAGGAATAGAAGCAAGCCAGCTTCTTCTATGTTACTTAGCAGCAGTGACTCACTTCACCGGCTGTCTTTGGGGGTTTCAGTTGCTGCCTCCTGCCGGCTAGCTCAAGTACTGATGTTATTTGGCTCCATGAAAATAAAATTTCAACAGAGTAGGAAATGTATAAACTTAATAGCTGATGTGTCAGGGTAGTAGACCAATTAGAAGATTAGAAGGGTACTCATGGTCTCTCTTTTTGCATGATTGGAGAAGAAATATCCAGCAATCAGGAAGGCCCCGTCCGCCTGCGGAAGAAAATAGGCAGGCTCATGTGGTTGGATCAACTTGTCATGGTAAAAAGCCTGTTGACAAGGTAAGGAATCAACCATGAAGTACTCTAGATTTATATAATAATAATAATAATAAAGATAGTCTATATCCATGTAATAAATTGGTCCTTACGAGATTAGTAGCCTGATAACAGGTAATTTCATAAAATATATTTATAATAAATGATAATATAGTAGCTTCCTATAAATGAAAGAAAAAGAAATTCAGTTATTTTATTCTCTTCCTCTATATCTCTTTGTTCATTTGTGTCAAACCCTAGGATCGCTTCCCTGTCCCAGTTAGCTTAGCCCCGTTGGTATACGTACCGCTGAACTACGTCAAGGTAGTATTGACTGA